AATGGAGACTCAAGGCCTACCACAAAGGGTGCACTTGTAAGAAAAGATTGTATACGGGTCAGAGTGCCTGTACACACCCTGCAGATTTGTCATCTTCCAAAAGCTATTGAAAGTTAACCACCTGCTCTGTCCTTAACTCACCTTCACTCAGTTCAATCACAAACATGCTATTGCTGCTGTAAATAACAAGCCCTGCTTTATTCTGAGATTGTAGAACAGGTTTTTCATGTTTGCATGATAGAATTCTAAGGCTGCGTATCCTATCAGTGCTGGACAACTTGTATGTGATTCTAAAACAAACGTTAGACATCTGAATAAAAATGTACATTACCTTTAGGTTCAAAAGTGCATATGTGCAGTTTAATTCTAAGCATTTAAAAACCCAAGTATATTAACTCTTCAAGTGGCCCTTATATTGAAAATGATGGTAGGGAAATTTCTTATTTTGGAGTCCACAGTTCTTGCCCTCTCTGATAGGGTTGCCAACTCTTCTGGACCAGATGCCTTGCCACAAATGGCTTCTGGCCCGTCCCATGGGGAGAGTTGGCAATCCTGCTCTCTGGTGATAGCATAGTCTCTAGCAATATGCCACAAACTGACTAGTATATATTTTAATGCCAGCTGTGTTTTATACGATATGTCTGCTTTCAGTTAGATCACTCTTACCTCTGGCAAAAAGATTGTATTTAATTCCTATGCCAGACCTTGTACTAGCAAAATGCTAACACAGCATTTTGGGTAGGAGATGTTATGATGTTTCTTTTGCCTATTAAAATACAACTTAGGTCAGCGAGATTAGTCCTCCCAGGGGTCCAATCCTGTGCACACTTAATACAGTAGGCAGTTCTTATGAGTGTTTTTGCTGACATTATTTGAACTACCTTACTGTTAAGCAATAAAGGATGGCCATATTTGCCTAATTACTCACTGCTCTACAAGTTTAAAGAAAGACACTAATGTAAATTGCTTTATGTACTACTTCTAACCAAAGATATTCAAAATTGAATTCTACTTTTAAATTAATGAAAATATGGCAGAGAATGAGCCTATAATACTCACTGCCAAAATTGAATTTTCTATGTAATTTTAGTATAGGCCAGACAATGTCACAGAATGATTGATTTTATAATCTTCACAAGTGACAGACTTGCTTGCTCATCTACCTGCACAGATGTGGCTAATAAAAATTAGAGAAGATATCTATTCTGTCATCTAACATTTCCTGCTGTTATTGCAAATTTTTTCATTTTACTAGAAATTCTGTGTATTCCAAGAGTTAGTGGCTTTAGAATTATATTCAGTAGCCTTAGAATCTGGTCCCTCACCACAACCCTCTGATTAAGAATCTCCACTTTCATTATAAGAAATGAATTTGTTTCTAGCCCTCAGGTTGTGAAGAAAAGCAGGAAACATGCACTGAATATCAACTGATGTGAGGCTATTTGCCTGAGCTGGCAAACTGCCCAAAACAATGCTGAGATGTCAGAACTCATTTTATTGGATTGTTGGCTCTGAAACCTAAAGCATCTGCAGGATATTGTACAATGAAAATGTGAACTGCAATGAAAAATGTAAGTAATTTAATGCCAAAGTAAAGGTCACATGGATGACTGGTATTCTGTATATTCATTATTTTGTTCACAACTTAACAAGATAAATGGAGCAAAATAGATGAAAAGCAGAATTTTTTAATATCTTTTTAAAAGGTTGACTGTCGCTGAGAAAAGCATACTGAGCTTTAGCAAAACACACAGATCATCCTTCCAGAACACGAAGTATCTTGGCAGCTTTGTTCCAAGTGATTTATTAGAGGATTAGCAAGTGTTGTGGGGGAATTTCAGCAGAACATTACATAAATGTGAAATGCCTCAGTAACAAAGCAAGAGAAGAAAGTGGCCAGAAAATCTAAACCGAGCAGCCCGCCCGTGCGCTGCTGTCTGATCACATGTGTCCAGTCGGCTGGAAAATCCCAGAGCTTCGGTTACAGCCACAGGCGTGTGAGGACAAGGGGAGCGGATGCCTGAACTTCGGCCATACGCCCTGACCCCCATTCGCAAGCCAGGAGGCGGGCGGGCCCCGTGAGGGATGCGAACGATTCATTCGGTCGGGGCTGGAGCAGCACCCTGCCTGCCTCGGGGACGCTGCCCCTTTAAGACCCCCCCCCACCAACCATCCATCCATCTGCATGGGCGGGTCAGCACAGGCGACCCATCCCCCTCTCCGCTGAATCCCTACAGAGCCCGTCGCGCGTCACTGGCTGGCGTCGCGTGAGCCGACCCAGCGCCTGGCGTTGCGGCAGCGTCGGAAAGAAGGCGAGGCCTGCACTTTACGGCAGGGGCCGGGTTGCCGCGCGCGCCCGCG